TGGTGATCAAAATATGTGTCTAGATGTTAAAATAACGGTTTGGTGTTGAGATAAAATTCCAGTAATATTCATTACTATACCAAAGGTTCCAAACGCATCATCATTACCACCTGAATCTGAAACCATACCCTTGACAACAAAACGATTATTCAAAATTTTTGTTATTGAATAAAAGTATTTTCCAAATACAATACTGATTTGAAAACAAATACTCCTCAAGGAGTAATTTTTGAAGGACAAAAATGTGAAGAAATTTCTGGAATTGGATACTTTGATACTATTCAATGAAGATTATGTTTGTACTTATACAGTTCTTTGACAAAAGAAGAATAGTTTGTGTGAATACCATCTGCTTTCTTCACTGATTAACAAATAATTTTTCAAAAAATATACAATTTGTTTGAAGAAGAGAAATTGAAAATATCAATAACATAAATAGTAACATGAAATGTGCTCTGCTTGTATGGAGTAGACGTGATTTAGCACAAAGCGAATAAATCGAGTTTGAATTCAGGAAAATAATGTTTTTTCACGAATAAAACACAAGCGCTACAGGAAAATCCTTAAGGCGCTCTTAGAGCGGTGCCTGTGCGAAAGTAAAGATTCATATTGGATTTGAATCGCTTGAGATTGAATCCATTTTAAAAAACGTTCTCAGGAATTTTATTTCACATAAACTCCATTTTCCAAATGAAGTTCGGGGTGTAAGTTGAATTTCATAACGATGAGCAGCCGTCGCGTATTTCTGATATGTACCACTCTTAGTGGGATCAAATGTGCCAAGTCACTTGAACATTTCCCGTGAAAGTATCTATAGAAGAGACATAAATCTCCAACCTTTTTTCGATGTTCCGGACTATCAAGATTGCAAGTGATGTTCGCGTCTCCAATCAGATGGATGGCTCTTTTCTGGAGTATTGTTCTCCATACATGAGAACAATACTCCAAAGTAGGTCTGATCTGAACTTTATAAAGCATCAAAAGTTGCCGAGGTGCGTACAGTTTTCTAATTCGGAACAGCGACATGATTGTGCCAATACATATTGATTGGTGTCCATTGAAGTTTGACCAGCAAATCCTCATGCCACACACGGTTAAAGGCCTTAGAAAAATCAATTTCTGGCATTGTGGATTCTAGTGTGAGAATAGTAGCTGGTGCCTTTCCCAGAAAATCGACCAGAAGGATCTAGATCCGTTGGGATTGGCAAGCAGTTTGTCATTAATTCTCTGATTTTAAAGTTCTTTGCTTTTATTTATCCTAAGTTCGCAGCTGATGCGAGTATTAATAAACCTGGTTCGGTTTTCGGTACTGATATTTTTGTGCCACTGCCGGTGGGCGATATTTTTGGAGGCAACAGCTTGCTTGCTATTTTTGTTGAACCAAGATTTACATCCATGGATGATAGAATAACTTCCGTGACTTCAGAAGCACAAGTTGATTGATCTTTAGAGCTGAAAACATCTAGCCAGCTGGAATTTCAGAAATGGTTTCGAAGATCCTCCCATTCAACTGATCTGTAATGCTAGACTTTGCGCGGCTTAGATTGTTCCCCAACAATTATCGGTAATTCACTCAAAACTGAAATGAGTTTGTGGTCTGAAGAGCCCAATGGAGACCTTACGGTGACTTTGTAAATTTCTGGATTGATTGTTAGGTATGGATCCAGAAGACTAGCATATTCTCTATAAAGTCAGGAATCCTAGTTGGCTCATTTATAATCTGAGTGAGTCCGCGCTTTTTGCAAAAGCCTCAGCTTCGAACGCTTTAGTTTCGTGCTCAAGCGCACATATTCCGCACACCGCCGGACTTCTGCAGTCCTTTGCAAAATGGCCGAACTTCTGGCAATTATAGCATCTTATAACTCTGACATGGTCTCTTACGTTGTGTTTTTGCCAGCCTATAAGTACTCCACCTTTCTCCGTTAATTTGGTCCTAATTTTTTGGCAGACCTCTATAACCCACGTGCATGTATCTTCGTTTTTGTCTCCGTATTTGTAAAGGGCTTTGACCTCTTCTGGGTCTTGGACTGGGCAAAAGTAAGTTCGTGCTTTTGGGCTTTGATACAAGCAACTCGGCGTCGTTTTTGGGAAAATTCAAATCTATCGGGTTCAGGTACAGCACCATCTTTGACAGAACTTCTAAGGTAGCAGGAGCCTTGGGCACTGGTATTCCAGTCCCATGAGGAATGGGACAGATAGATAATTTTAGATTGGGGTATGAAATTGACTGCTTTCGTTTTTATATTATACCAACAAAAGTAATAAGCATCACTATGGCTCTTTTATTCGCGTCATACCATAAGAATCGCATATCGGAAAGCTTTTTTCTTGCCCTCAAACCAATCTTCCCAGTGAGACTCGTTTTA